TTGTGTGTCATGGCTGCACATCCTTCTAGTTGCTGTATGTGGGACGCGGCTTCAGCATGGCCGGAGAAGCGGTGCGTCAGTGCGCGCCCCGGGTCCGAACCCGGCCGCCAGTAGCGGAGCGTGCACACTTAACCACTAAGCCACGGGGCCGGCCCTGATGTTTTTTTTAAAACTTATTTTGGGGGCCAGCCCAGTGGCGTAGTGGTTAAGTTCACATGCTCTGCTTCACTGGCCCAGGGTGCGTAGGTTCGGATCCCAGGCATGGACCTGCGCACCACTTATCAAGCCATGCTGTTGCAGGCGTCCTACATATAATCAAGTAGAGGAAGATGGGCACAGATGTTAGCCCAGGGCCAATCTTCCTCACCAAAAAGAGGAGGACTGGCAACAGCTGTTAGCTCAGGGCTAATCTTCCTCAGCAAAAAAAAAAAAGAAAAAGAAAAAAACCACAAAGTTATTTTGATATAAATTTAAACTTACAGAAAAGTTGCAAGAACAGTACAAAGAATCCCCATATACCCTTCACGGAGATTTACTGCATTCCTTTTTAAAATTAGTTGCATATTATGAACATTTTTCCATGTCCACAGACATCATTATCATCATGGCCAACATTCATTGCTGGCTAGGTGAGCCCTTTACTCACTGTGACTTCTGCTACCCCCACAACCACCTCCTGAGATAAATCCTATTATCCACATTTCACACATGAATAAATTAGGCCTTAGGTGTTTCCAATATTTCACCTTACAATCCTTTGTTAAAGGTCTTTGATCCCTATTTTCGTGAATCTATTCCTTAGGTTTTCGATGCCATCTCTAAATAAGATTATCCAGGAAATTTCCCAAACTCACTGACACAGCAGAAAGGAAGACCACGATTATCAGAGAACTTTAAACCTGTGTCCCATTACTGGGCCACGTCATGGCCCATGATGCACAATGACTAATTATATTTTTTAAATCTTCTAATGACCTGGTAAATACCCTCATAATATCATATTTTTTATGACTCAGAATTACTTTATCAAATGTAAATATATAAAATATACTCTACTCTCTATAATCCTATTGGATATTTCTTCATATTAAAATATGTATGCACCCCATGTTCATAGCAGCATTATTCACAATAGTCACAAGATGGAAGCAACTCAAGTGTCATCAACACTTGAATTGAGGGGCTGGCCTGGTGGCACAAGCGTTAAGTGCTTGCACTCTGCTGCAGCGGCCCAGGGTTCACCGGTTCGGATCCCGGGCGCACACCGACACACTGCTTGGCAAGCCATGCTGTGGCGGCGTCCCATATGAAGTGGAGGAAGTGGAGGAAGGGGCTGGCCCCGTGACTTAGCAGTTAAGTGCGTGCGCTCCGCTGCTGGCGGCCCAGGTTCGGATCCCGGACGCGCACCGACGCACCGCTTCTCAAGCCATGCTGAGGTGGCATCCCACATACAGCAACTAGCAGGATGTGCAACCATGACGTACAACTATCCACTGGGGCTTTAGGGGGAAAAAATAAATAAATAAAGTGGAGGAAGATGGGCACGGATGTTAGCCCAGGGCCAGTCTTCCTCAGCAAAAAAAGAGGATTGGCAGATGTTAGCACAGTGCTGATCTCCTCACAAAAAAAAAAAAAAAAAAAACAGATGAATTGATAAGCAAAATGTGGTGTCGAGGCAGAAAAAATTCCTTCTACCCTTCTAGGGTCTTTGGCTGATCTAATAATTAAATTGATATAAGACAGATTAACAGGAGAAAAACAAATTTAATTTCATATGTATGGGAGCCCCATAAAAACATGAGACCCAAAGGCTGTCAGGCAATTGAGGCTTATATGCTATCCTGACCTAAGGAATGGAATAAGGGCCTGAGCCTTCAAAAGGGAGAAAGGCGGGCCGGCCCTGTGGCTTGGTGGTTAAGTGCGCGCGCTGCGATGCTGGTGGCCCGGGTTCGGATCCCGGGTGCGCATCGAGGCACCACTTCTCCATTCATCCTGAGGCCGAGTCCCACATACAGCAACTAGAAGGATGTGCAGCTACGACACACAACTATCCACTGGGGCTTTGGGGGGAAAAAATAAAATCTTCAAAAGGGAGAAAGGCAATGCACCAGAAGACAAGAAGAGCAGATGTTTGCCCTGCCACGCAGGTAAGTCTTACAGATAAAAAGAAATCTCTGGTAATTGCTCTCCTCCTCAGCCAGGCCCCCTATTTAAACTCTTTTAGGCAGTTAAGGGAGAGGGAAAAGATTTTCCTGAGTCTGCTAGGTCTTGACATTATGCTAAGTAAAATAAGCCAGTCATAAAAAGACAAATACTATATGACTCCACTTACATGAGGTCCCTAGAGTAGTCAAATTCAGAGACAGAAAGTAGAATGGTGGTTCCCAGGGGCTGCTGGGAAGGCAGAATGGAGAGGTATTATTTAATGGGTACAGAGTTTCAGACAGTTATTGCTAATGGGTAGAGTTTCATCTTTTTGTATGATGAAAAGACTTCTGGAGAAAACAATATGAATGTACTTAATGCCACTGAACTGTGCACTTAAAAAATATTAAGATGGTAAATTTTATGTTATTTATATTTTGCCACAATTTAAAATTAAAAAAAAATTTAAACATATGCAGTAGGTACTTCATATTAAATACTAAAGTATGAGGAATGAGCCTCACAAACAGTGGCTGATGCCTCTGAGAGACAGTGTTAAGATGCTCCAAAGAGGTGACTGTGAGCTGAAACAGTGCAGGTCACTGTTGGCAAGGGGGCACCTCTGCAAAGGGCCTGCAGACCATATCTGCCTGGTGTGGAGGCCTCACCATTTTCCCAATGGAGAGAGGAAGCCTAAGGCCCTGAAGCCAGTGGACCTGTCATCCCTCCAATTTCTGCTTGTAGGCTTCCTGTGTTAACTGTCACCCTGTGGCCGCCTACTCCTGCCCCTGACCAGAGAAGTTCTCCTGCCTCTGAGTGCAGTATTAGTTCCTTAACTCTGAGGTCGAAATATTACAGAACTAGAGAACACTTACTGAGTGCTTTACATACATTACTTCTAATCATCATCTTCACAGTGAGCCTCCAACAGAGGTTTTGTGATTCTCGGCTTACACATGAGGAGACTAAAGTCCCTAAAGGTTAAGTAACTTACTCAAAGAAACACAATAAGGACCTAAATTCTTTCCATTATACCATGTGGCCCCTAAGATGATTAAAAAAAGATAGTAAGTTCTCTACAGTAGCTACCATATTTTTAAAGTCTCCATAAGGTCTCAGAGGCAAAAATGTACTGAATCGAGAAACTCACAGTTGCCCCAAAATAGTAATTGCTAATATTTATTGAGCATTTAGTACAGGTCAGGAACTTGGCTAAACTCCAGTTATACTACTATTTGTGTGTGTGTGTGTGTGTGTGAGGAAGATCAGCCCTGAGCTAACTAACATCTGCCAATCCTCCTTTTTTTTGCTGAGGAAGACTGGCCCTGGGCTAACATCTGTGCCCATCTTCCTCCACTTTTTTATATGGGACGCTGCCACAGCATGGCTTGCCGAGTGGTGGTCTGTGCGCGCCCAGGATCCAAACTGGCGAACCACTGGCCGCCACAGTGGAGCTCGCGCACTTAACTGCTATGCCACCAGGCCAGCTCCATATATTACCATATTTAATACACCCAATAACCCAGAGTGGTACATGTTAAGAGTGCCCACTAGTCCAGTGTCTGGCACACTAGCAAAGGCTCAGTACGGTCATGGAGGACTGGCATTTCCTTCACATTCAAATATGCGATTCCCAAGATCAATGCCAATTCTGAAACGGCTGCTACTTTATTTTTTAAGCATTGGAAACACATTTCTGGATGATTTTAAGGCCAAAAAACACACTCGGTTTAAACTCTAATTCAATGCTGCTATTGTTTTCCACTATACTAACCCTAGAAATATCAGAAGCTATACGAGCAAGACTAAGCTGCTGAGAACACGTGTGTTGGCAGTGGACAGGCATTTAGGCATTCATTCAACAGGGAGGTCTTGAGCGCATTCTGTGTGCCAGCCAAACCCCCCATCTCCCTTCCTCCCCTCAACAAACAAAACCAAACCTATATCTAGCTTTCAAGAGGGCTCAGGTTGTCACATGGATCTGTATCCTTTGCAGCAAGTACTACAGTACCGACCTTCAAAATTTTATCCTTACAAATTCAATCTCAAGAATCTTCATTAAATGTCATGGTTCCAGCTGAAAAAGCTCGCTTTTTTTTAAACGTGTTATTCTCTCTTTACTATAATCTTATAAAAGAACTTTGTGGGGCCGGCCTGGTGGCGCAAACGGTTAAGTGCATGCGCTCTGCTGCTGGGCCAGGGTTGGCGGGTTCGCATCGGGCAGGCACCCACGCACTTCTTGTAAGGCCATGCTGTGGCGGAGTCCCATATAAAGTGGAGGAAGATGGGTGTCGATGTTAGCCCAGGGCTGATCTTCCTCAGCAAAAAAAATATATATTAGTATATAAAGTGCCGCTTTGCTCTTTCTAGCGATGGCAGGTTAGTTCTCTGAAAGGATCTACTCCAATTTATTTCACCTGGTTATACTCTGGTTTCACGGCTTAAAATAGCAAAAAACGAGTCTTTGTCTACAGGAGTCAGTTTGCGGCTTCCAGGAATCTCGGTTCTGCCCACCTCTCTCAATTGCTGGGAGCAAAATCCCCGACCCGGGTCTCAGCACTCCACAGCGCGGCCCGGCGGCGTCACCCTCCCGGCACACAAAAGCCGGGCGCGAGCTCAGCCGCACCCTGCTGGAGGGCCGCCCCGCTTGCGCAACCGCGCACGCCACCCCCATTCCCCGCCCGCCGCGAGCCCGCAGTGGGGGCCGCCATCTTGTACCTGTGGCCACCTACCGCCTCAAGAAAGACACCTGGAAACTCCTCGGCAGCTAACTTGTACGAGAAGGCTGCGCAGCAATCACTGCGCTCAGATCACCGCGCCTCCCAGAACCAGGACAGCCTCTCAGCGTTCCATACCACCACAAAGGAAGCAGCCATCTTGTACGGCAAACGCTTCCATTTCCGGGACCGGCCTGCGACGAAACAAGGGAGGTGCTAGCCAACATCGGCGACTCTCGCGCCCTCTGGCAGCGGGGCCGAGCAGTGACGCCAGCTCGGACCTGTAGGGGATTCTGCTTCCGGGTCTGCTCGGGCGGGGCCGTGACGTCACGCGGCCCGGCTGTGACGACTGGGGGAGCCTGGGCTGGAATATGAACTTGCGCTTGAGCGATAGGGGTGTGGCGGGGCGTGTGGATGGGAAACTGGGGAAGGAAAGCAAGTTTGTTTAAGGGCTTCTGCGTGGTCTGTTAGTACTCCGCAGGACAGGGCGAGGCACGCGTTATTGTTACTGTTTACAGGGGAGAAAACAGACTCGCACTCTTGGTCGCTCTGCTAAACCCTGGCAGAGATGGGATTAGCGGTCTCTCTCGCCCGTTGCTCTAAAATGGAATAACAATCTATCCTGGGGGACTGTTGCGAGGATTAAGTGACTTTTCAGATTACAGTGCCAGGTTCTTAGTATTAGTTTCTTCTCCACTGATAACAGTAATATAACAACAACAACCACGTGCCAGGCACATATTATCTGTACTCAACCTACGACTCTGTGAAGTAGGGAGTATCAGCATTCCCATTTTACAAATGAGGACGGTGAGGAAAGCAGAAGTAATTTGTCCAAGGTTACAGGATAGCCAGTAGCAATGCCCAGGCAGTTTGGGGTGGGTGTCTCTGATCTTAACCACTACACATTCTCTCTGGGAACAGGACCCTGTCGGGGTATGTGCTAATAAGGTGGTAAAGAAACAGGAACCAATCGTCATACTTCTTGCAGCCTTGTTGTGACGAGCAATGGGGCTTCTGAAGAGAGGCTCAGGGGAGGGAAGAGAAGAGGGTGGGAGGAAGAGAAGAAGGACTGGCCTCAGGGAGTACCAGAGGGAATGGATTAGAGAGGACAATTTTTGTCCTGTCTGCACCAGAAGTGAAGAAATGGCTTCTAGCTTGCAGAATGGGAAGTGGGAATGATAGTAATAATAATAATCGCTATGACACATGGAGCAGTTACCATATCTATTCTTAGAAGATATTAATCCAATCCAGAAATGGAGGCTGAAGTTGAGAAAAGTAGGTCCCTTATCCTTGGCAATCTGTTTACTTACCTATAAAACCAGGGTAATAGGGCCCCCTAGCCAGGTTTTTAGGAAGAGAGAGAGTTCTGGTGTCCTCCGCCATCACTTGGTGTGCCTTTTGATGGGAAACTGTGTTGGCAAGGCTGGGGAAAACAGGCACTGTGATACCTATTGGTGGGAGTGTACATTTGTATAATGTCTGTTAACTTAGAATAATCCCTTGTACAAATCTTTTGATCAAGCACTTCAAGGCCTAGGAAATTATCTTACAGGTGGGCTCCCCCATGTGCTCAGACATATGTACAATATGTCTATGTGTCTATGTACAAGATACTGTGGGAGATCAAGATTTGGCCACCCTGAAATATATCTCTTTACCTTGATTGTTTTCTCTGAGGCACATTTGACCTCCCCCACTACCTGTCTAAAGAATTTGACATAGTAACTCCTTCCTGGAACAGATCTTCTATCTGATGGCTGTAATATAATGTAAAATAGATGTTACAATAGAAAAGGCACCAACAAGCCCATCTTATGTCTCTCTGGCCACATTCTCTGGATGGCCCTGCGAGGAGTTGCCAGGCAAACATTTACATTTATAAGGGAAATCTCCATTTGTAAAGGTATCGCCCTCTCTGTATTGGGAAAAGGGGAGATGGCCTCATTTCTAGAGACTTATCAATGTGGAAGGTGAGGCCTTAAATCTGCATAATAACCTTACTCTTGTTTACTGTGCTTTAGTGGTAACTCCTGTAACTGACTCCCTCCACCCCCAACATCCTCCTTTGTCATTGGCTGAACATGGTATTTAAGACGAGAATTTCTGTTATTGTGTTGAGAAACGCCGTGTCCCTGCTTTCTCCCATGTATACATGTTATTAAACTTGGTATTATTTTCTCCTGCTAACCTGTCTTGTTAATTATTTGGCCAGCCATAAGAACCTTAAGGAAAAGGGCAGAGGGAGATTCTCCCTCTCTCCCAACAATACAATCCAGCATTGTTTGAATAGAAAAGTATGGAAGCAACCTAATTGTTCATCAATGGGGGACTGGTTTGGTTTTAAAAATATGACACATCTATACAGCCCTTAAAAAGAATAAAGCAGTGCTATTATGGAATGAGCTCCAAGATTATCACATATAATTATGATTGTGTTTGGCTGCAAATAACACAATACCCTTCTCTAGTGGCTTAAACAGACAAGAATTAATCTATCTCATGGAATAAGTAGTCCAAGGAGGGCTATGGGGCATAGTGTGCCATTAGGGATGCAGACTCTTTTTCTTTTGTTTTTAAAATTGTTTTAACCTTTTTTTTTATTGTGAATCATAATATATATAAAAAGTGCATAAAACAAATGTTCAATTTAATAAATTATTTTGATGTGGATATCTATGTAATCACTACCTAAGTGAGGAAAGAGAATGTCACCAGCATCCCAGCAGCTCCCCCTTGTGCGCCTTTACTGTTCACAAGCCCCTTCCACCTGCCAGAGATAACCATTATCCTGACATTTATGGTAAATACTTCCTTGCCATTCTTTGTAACAGTGGGTCTCAAAGTGTGGTCCCAGGATGAACCATACCAGCATTAACTGGGAACTTGTTAGAAACGAAAATTTCCAGGCCCCAGCCCAATTCTACTTAATTGGAAACTCTGGAAGGGGGCCCAGCCGTCTGTGGTTTTAACAAGCTTTCCAGATGATTCTGATGTGCTCAAATTTGAGAAGCATTGCTTCAAAATAACACCACTAAAGTGTACACCTATGGACAATACAATATAGTTTCTCTGGGTATGTCTGAATTTATATAAATATGTAATATAGTATGTATTGTTTTATGTCAGCTTCTCTACTGAGTATTACTCTTTTGTTTTGTTTTCATACTGAAACAAAGCACATTGAGAAAAGTGCCTAAATCGTGAGCAGTTTAATGAATTAGCACAAGGTGAACTCACCTGTGTAACCACCACTCATCAGGAAAAACAACGTTCCTAGCCCCCTGATGTCTTCTGCTTGCTTCCTCCCAGTCCTGCTCTCTCTCTCCTTCCCACAGGCAAATCTACCTTGTTTTAAAAATATTTGCATATGCCAAGGTTTGAAGCACCAGCTGGAGTGGTGGAAGCAGATTTTACTCAGTAACTGCTGACAGCAAGGGAAGAGCTGAGCTCTGTTCCTATTTGCACTGAGGTGACTGGGAGTTTTAAAGGAAGAGGGTAGGGAAGGAGAGAGAGTGGGGCTCCAGTGGAAAATTACAAAGTGTAGGTCACTGTAAAGGTGATTATAGGGCCAGCCCGGTGGCCCTATAATCCTGACACTCCTGAGTTGTAGTAGATACATCTCAAAGGGACAGAGGAAAGAGTCATAATTACAAGCCCTTTTTAGTAAATGCTCTAAGAAAAGGAAGTCAGGTGTTGGTGAGAATAGTGAGTTCTGCTGGCAGTGTTTGAGCTTTCTCAGGCAGGCATTTTAATGGGGGGCTGGGGTCATCCTAAGGACATGGCCTCATGCTGCTAGAAGTCATTCTAGAGATTGGTTGTCTTTTAGTGCCGAGGTTTGGATGAGTTTTTAGGTGTCCGAAGTTCTGTAGTTCTCAAAAGATAGCCACTGGAGGGGCTGGCCCCATGGTGTAGTGGTTAAGTTTGGTCTGCTCCACTTTGGTGGCCTGGGTTCACAGGTTTGGATCCTGGGCACATGACACCACTTATCAGCCATGCTGAGGCAGCGACCAACATACAAAATAAAGGAAGACTGGCACAGATGTTAGCTCAGTGCAAATCTTCCTCAGCAAAAAAAAAAAAAAAAAAAAAAACAAAAGCCACTGGAGAAAGTGAAACCAGCCATGAAGAAGACAGATTAGCCATCATGCTTGAGATCTTGGGTAGGTATGCATGGCATCACGGTGCACAGCAGATCTGTGGCAGGAATGCCACTCAGGTCAGCATTGAGCCAGCAGCCAGTGGCTGGCCCTCCTGGGCCCATTGCACACAACTATGGGTCTGTGGCCCAGCCAGTCAGAGATGCTACAAGTCAGGAAATAGGGCACAGGAATGAAATGACTTCCCCAAGTGCTGGTGCCTCTTTGTCCTTCAATGACATTCATACTGGACAGCACAAACCAAAATAAACAGGAACATCAGGCCTTTGCACTTTTATCCACATAATAGATATAATTATGGCTTAAATCACATAGAAGAAAAAAAAGAGCTACAAACAAAAAGTATATTTATGTTGTTTTTTATATTTACTGATGTAGTACCTTTATTTGCGCTCTTTATTTTTTCCTTTGGAATTGAGTTACTGTCTGGTATCATTTCATTTTAGCCTGAAAGATTCCCTTTAGCATTTCTTGTAGTGCAGGTCTGCTAGTGACAGATTCTCTCAGTTTTTGTTTACATGGGAAAATGTTAATTTCACTTTCATTTTTATTCTATTATTATACTGTATTACATTAATTGATTTTTGGATGTTAAGCCAACCTCATATTCTTGGGAAAAAGGCCACTTGATCATGGTGTATAATTCTTTCTATATGTTGCTGGATTTGGTTTGCTAATTTGTTGTTGAGAACATTTGCATGTGTATTCATACAAAGCTGTTGGTCTATAGTTTTCTTCTTTTGTGATGTCTTTGGTTTTGGTATCAGGGTAATACTGGCCTCATAAAATGAATTGGGAAGTGTTCCTTCCTCTTCTATTTTTGAGAAAAGTTCGTGAAAAATTGGTATTAATTCTTTAATGTTTGGTAGAATTCACCACTGAAGCCATGGGCTTTTCATTGTGGGTAGTTTTTAAAATTACTAATTCAATATCTTCACTTATTATTGGTCTGCTCAGATTGTCTATTTCTTCTTGAGTCAGTGTTGGTAGTCTGTGTCTTTCTAGGAGTTTATCCATTTCTTCTAGGTTATATAT